AGAACTAGAAACCAACTGCCAAAAGGCCAAGTCCAGTCAAGCCAAACCACATGTGAATTAATTCGTGTTTGATGTTATAAATCAAACGTGTCTGTTGACTAATATTCTTTTGCCTCCTTTTGGACAGATAAAATCAAGTATCTTCACAAACAATTTGAAATGTGAGCAAAAACTACCCCTGGTCTGGAGCACCTCGTAAGAATTTAATATACGAGGGGCGCCTGGGTGGCTCAGCTGGTTAAGCGTCTGCCTTAACCAGGTCAGGTCATGATCCCAGGGTCCTGGGACTGAGTCCTACATCAGGCTCCCTGCTCACGTGGAGCCTGCTTCCTGTTTCCTCCCTGCTCCTGCTGTCTTCCTATCTCTGTCTCTTAAAAAAAAAAAAAAAAAAAAAAAAGAATTTCACATACGAGAGAGCCCATGTGGCTAAGTTAATGCATTCCTTATTACAGTCATTACTGCAACCAATCTGAACTTTTGTCACAAGGACCTACTTAAAAGTCCGTTAAAGTGTGGTTTAAATTTACTTACTTTAGTAATTATTTTTATGTGATCATGAAAAGTGATGTATTTTAGTTGTATAAAATATAGAAACTGGAGAAAAGTATAAAGTTCCATTTAAGTCTACCAATTAGAGGTAACTATTTTTAGCCTTTTGGCCTATTTTTCCATCTACTAAACTGCGCAAATATACTTTTCAAATCAGGATAATATATACATAAGTTTTGTATTTAGCTATTTCCCCTGTATTACCAAATACTTTTAGACTACAGGAAAACCAGCTGTAAGCACGTTATAATTCATCTAAAAACCTGTGAAATTTTCACTATTCTAAATAATATGGTGAGAATTTTTTTCTGTATTACCATATTTGTATATGATTCACAAGATAAATTCTTAGAAACAGATTTAAGGTTCCTGATATTCACTGATTCAGTGCTATTTTCTAAAATGGTCATGGGCCATTATAAACTCCTTCCATCACCATATAAAAGGTCTCTTTATACCTTACTCTTGCCAACACTTGGTGTTAATGAGGGAAATAAAGTCTTTTCTATTGGTATTTACTATTGCAGAAAAAGAAAAGGGGATGGGGGGAGTCATTTCTTTGTTTTCCTTCAGAAGTTGGGAGACTGGGATATATTTTCAAGAACTGATTACAGCACTTTTCATTCTACTTGTGTGAATTCTCATTTGCATCTCTCACTTTTCTTTTTCTATTAGAGAGTTGGTCTTCTTTACTGACTTGTAAGAAATTGTTGTATTATTCTCTCATGGTTATGATGTTTAAGAAATCTCCCCCAGGGTACTGTCTTTTCCAGCCTGTCTTTAATGTGCTTTCAAACCGCATCTGCCACTGCTTACCCCACAGACTTACTACGGCAGTAAGCCGGTTTACTACTACAGCTACTGCTACCCTGCCCACCACCCTCAGAGTGCCCACACACTCCTGTCTTTATTCTAATTCTGTGAAATCCCGAAAAGGCCTCTGCCAGGCTTCATTTCCTCACACTCCTGCACCCATGGTAAATTCAATTCCTAACTGGCCACTGAGGCCTGGCACATGGCTGTCTCTTCCAGGAAGGTTCCCAGGCCACCCCGGGGCAATTATGTCAATTACCATACATCATCCATCCCACTACCAAATACTTTCGTATTACTTGTTAACTTTTCTTGGGATTGTCCCTGTCTCCACCACCATTGATACATTAAATAAGAGAACTTAACGTCTTGTCCATTTTTATTTCCAAATTGCTTTTTACACATACCTAACTTCTCAATATAGATTATGTGAATAGTTAAGCTTGGCTACTGCCTCTTCCTCCCTTGCCTTCTAGAAGTAAGAATGTGTCACATTCTTCTCGCCATACAATGAGCCGATCCACGTTTTCCCTAGCATACTTATTATGTCATAAAGCAAACAGAACTGCTGTTGCAAACAAGATAAACGACCACTACTGACATAGCCAGGACAAGTCCCATGCTATCTGTAATGCTAGCACACTCCCCTTCCTTTCTTAAATATCCATTCTTCCAATGGGACATTCAATATAGTCCATGTAATATTTCCTAATAAATGCGTGAAAAGATTAAAGAACTTGCTCAAAATTGAGAGGATAAGGAATGGACAACGAAAATTAAAGAAATCTCCATTTGTGCCTGGCATCTTTATGTAGCAACATTTCCTTGTCTTTTCCAACACAAAGGATGCTCCACTTTCCCCGCAAGCATATGACTCACTACCAATAGAACCAAATAAAAATTAATCTTCTCCAACATGTGGACGATTTCTTACACTTACAACTTTAACATACACAGGAAATAAATGAGTTACGTCCAAATCCTTGCCAAATATTCTCAAATTCAAACTCCTTTTCTCCAAGATACCTTTTCAATGACGTCTATTGACAACATGCAGTCAAAATAGTGTCAGTGTACAATCTATTCTGTCAAACTCAAATGTTCTAGAACAGTGCTAGTCTTAAATATGGCTCATGAATCAGCAAACAGTCTGCAAACTGTAATGGATCCCTAACAAGATATGTAGAAACCAGGAGTGTTTTAGAAGCTTTTATAGCCACTTGACCTCATTTTTCTAGTAATTCATCTTAATTGTATTTTGCAAAAGTAGAGGTCTGAGACAAATTAGGATTAAAAGAACAAAAATTGGCCAATTACCACCACTTGAGAAGCGCTGCTCTAGAATAAGCTTGCTAATCTTTTCCCAGTAATGACACACAAAGTCATATTTTTAAGGTCCATGTGGGTAAACAAAGAAAGCTGCCAAAAGGAATATAAAGAGCCCAACCAAGTTTCCCTAAGGGCACCCAGTTATCCCAGGATCAGAAGGGATCCTGGCAGGGCCTAACAGGTTGAGGAGCTCTGCTCTATAAGTCACAATCTGGCATTCCAGGTGACCCAAAAACTGAACTCACCATGCTAGCCAATCCTTTATCATGTTCTAAGAGGAATTCTATTCCACCTGCTTGGCAATTCTGGTTCACCGTTTTAAATACCAACTATACTGTTCCTCCCTTCTGGAAATATCCATACCTTACAAACCACACTATATTTACCTTCCAAAGCTCAACCTTCCAAACTCAAAATTAAGGTTCCTAGTTTCCATCTTACTTCCTCCTACCTGCACTGAGATCTTTTTCTTACACAGAATCACTAAAAAAGGCATTATCATATACTAATTGATAAACATGTAGGGATATACCTTATAATGACTCCTAGTCCATTCATAGTGCATCATCATTCATAGGGCTTTTTCTACCTTAAGAGATTTTAAGGTCTTTTCATTGGGAAAGCAGGATTAAGTCTCTCCCTTTCATGATGGCCTTTACAACAGCCAGGACAGCAGTAATAGCTAAGAATCCACGGTGTCACGCTAAGTTGCTTCGGATATTTCCAGTACTGGCTTTTCTCCAGGGTATGCTATCTTTTAAAACTTCAAGCTTTAGAACTGATTGCCCCATAGTTTTAACTTTATGGAAAAAGTCATCTTATCACCTACAGGACACATTATTTATGGTCCTCCTTCATCCCTACTCTCCTTGGGATTCACTGTAAATTAATTACTTAGCCCAACTCAGATCTTTTTCTGTGCCTTTATAAACAATCACAGAATTTCTTTTTTCTAAATCACTTACCTGGAGCTTACAACTTGCTTCCCCCCCCCCACCCAGTCAACAGTATGGGTTGGTAGCAAATGTCTTCCTATGACTGTACTGGTCTCAACACATTTCTAACTAGACAAAACTTCTGTAAGACGTCTAGAACCCAGGGGCGCCTGGGTGGCTCAGTCATTAAGCGTCTGCCTTCGGCTCCGGTCATGATCCCAGGGTCCTGGGATCGAGCCCCGCATCGGGCTCCCTGCTCCACAGGAAGCCTGCTTCTCCCTCTCCTGCTCCCCCTGCTTGTGTTCCCTCTCTGGCATCTCTCTCTCTATGTCAAATAAATAAATAAAATCTTTAAAAAAAAAGAAAAAAAAGTCTAGAACCCAGCGTCCCTCCTGGGTCATGTCATGTCTCTATTCCTGGGCACTAAATAGCACTCATCCCCCATTCATCCTCCGTAAATTTCCTTCCATCTCTGACTTATGTTCCTACTCTGAAGCAGAATTCCTATATGCCACCTTCACGGAGAAAAGAAAGTTTTCCCTTCCAAAGCCTATCCTCCTTTTGTTTTTTGGCTTCCTTGTATCCACAGTCCTTTAATTCTAGCTTTCTTCTTCATACAGAGACTGCTTCGAAATATATACTCTTAAATGGAAAACCCTATGACACCAAAATTTTTATTCTACTTTACTCCACTTTAAATGCTAGTCTGTGCTAAAAACAAAGAAACAAAGCAAAAACTCAGAGAGTACTAAAAAACAGAACTGGAAGGAAAAGCAGATTAGTTCTTTTTCTATTTTTTAAAAAATTACCTCAATATTCTTACACTGGCTTCTTCATTAAAATGTTTAAATCGCTCTGCCCTAGATCACAATTACTTCAGTCTCTGTATTCCGTGCTAGACTACAAAGTTGGAATAGGAAAAGAGCCTATTAGTCTGGTACACTTAACTACCAAACATATGCTATCTACTTTACCTACTAATGGGTAGGTAACAAGGTAACTAATGTGAAATGCTGCATTTTAAACACTTCCAAACTTCTGTTGTTATTGGTTAGGCATAAAAATGTAAATGAGGTTAAGACAGAAAAACTTTATAGAGTGGGGTTAGTCCAATTTTCCCAGGAAACCGGTCTTAAACCACTGCAAATTTTAGAATTTTCTCCAGATAAGTAGAATTTCTGGATAGCCCCAACAGATTCCTCTGGAAGACACTCGCTAAAATCTAGTCAACTATTCCTGCTCTTGCCTCAAATCCCTGAAAAGGGCCCTGAAAACTCTAAGATATAGGTCAGTCATAGAGCAAAAAAGCATTCCACAAAATCTGAAAAAAATAAAGCAAATATAAAGTAATTTTCACATATACTTCATACATACCAGTTTGGCTTGTGCTTCTGCAATTTTTCGGTTATTCTCTTCCAGTATTCGCTCTAGTTCCTCACGTTTTGCCCGTTCTTCCTCCTAAAGGGGAGGACATGTTAAGATGTTAGAAAAATAAAATGTTTATTTTTACTGATAAATATTTACTAATCTTCCTCTGAACTTTTTGATCTGACTTAGAGGGTAGCTTTATAGCTACCTTCTGTCTGACAAATGATAAACTGTGCAGCCACTAAAATTTGTTTCTAGCACGAAATTTAAATCATCCCTCCCAGTCCAAACAGCAACCGACTAAACCCTCCCTAATGATAGTTTCCTGGCAATTATTACTAATACTTTAATATCACACAAATCAACAAGGACAACTACAAAACTGGATAGTATTTACCAAATTAAAAAAATAATATATAAAATATAAATAAAGTGAATATTTGTCTCACCAATTATGTATACCTACGTATTCTTTACCTATACTCCTTTAATCAGCATTAAAAGTTGAATATTTACTGTCTTGTCCAGTGTCCTGCAGAGTGTGCTCCTCGGCTGCCATACGCGCCAGCTTCCTCTTTAAAATGATTTGTACTGTTAGCTTGGCAATACCTGCATCAGCAGCTCAACCATTTATAAAGAAACAACATACAAGGAAGGCTGAGCTGAGGAATGCAGATGTTTATGGTAAGAAGGAACAAAAAATGTAATTCATCATTCCTAAGGCAAACAATTAATAAGAAAAATACATTTACTGTTAGTGAAAAATACAAATGGTAATCCATACTTCATGGAACTAAGGGCTCTTCCATGGGGAAAATGGACTTAACATTCAGATGTTGACAATTTCTAAAGGCAGCTTATCTTGTCATCTACAGTCTGAACTGAAATTCAGGAATCCAGGGGGTGCATGGTCCGGAAATAAAATTCTGTAATTTATTTTTTATTGGAGAATTTAATGAAATTTTATAATGCAAACTATATGAAGATTGCTTGATGGTTTGGGCAGTGTTCAGATCACAGCATACATATTCAAATGATTTTAATATTTGGAAAGACTGTCAGAGGGTTGTGTCCGTGTAAAAAAAAAAAAATTGTTAATATGAAACAAAAAGCAAACGAAGAGAAAAAAATCTTCCTATGATTAATAACTCGCTACAGGACAGCACCATTACTCCAAAATTATCTTCGTTATTAAAAGCACTGACATAAATAAAATTTCATACATTCAATTGCACAGTCTGTGATAGCTACCAAATATAAACACGTGTATCTACTTAAAGACAGCACAAGGGAAAATGCATTTGAGAAGCTAAGCTTACTGGAAAAAAAGACAGATTTAATATGATGCCAACTTGTACACAATAAGGCCAAGATTAATAATGATATGAGACACATATTTTGAGTCAAATATTTAAATTCAAGAAAATACAACTACAGGATTTTCTATGGCATACACCAATGGAATTCATATTCATTATGCAAACTATGTCAAGGGACACTCAGGGCCGTAAAGTAATTTGCCTTGAGTGTTTCAGTGACTTTCAACAAGTTTTAGGAACCTGGAGTAATCAGTGCAAATAAGCCATAAAGCTTCAGTAGCAAATTACTGTCTCACAGAAAGACATTTTCAACTTCTGCTCCAGCTGCTGATAAAACAAATCATGTGTTTAGCTTGACTCCAGACAAGGACAACCTGTTCCTTCATAACTCTCTAGAGAAAAAAAGGAGTTGTTAGTAGATACTAAAAAAGTGGATGAATAATCTGGACATTTTTCCTAAAAAGATTCTTTGAAACACATTAGGAAAATGGAGGGCCTTATGATCAGAGTGCTAGAATTAGTCCACTGTGTTGAAGCAGGATTTGGGGTAGGGGTGAGGGATAAAAGGAGGACAAAAAGCAGAGCGAGAAAACCTACGTATCAAAAGCAGGTGCGGTCACTCAATGTCAGGCCCTGCTCTGTAATCTGACTGAAGGCAAACAGCCTCTCACAGTCCAGCAGTAAGAATGACACACAGAAAAGAAGAATGCATATCCACAGGTGGATTTTAACCTTTTCCCTTGACCACTCCCTGTCTCCCCCCACCCTCCCAAAAAAGAATGTAAGTCCTGCAGCCATGGCAAAAGTTTCAAACACTTCTCAAATATGTAAGCCAGTTCCATTAAATCAAAAAGTATCCTTGAATACGTTTTATGAAAGTAACTTTTAAATATCAGTCAGCACTTCTGAATAGGCTAAAAAATTAACTTTCGCAGCAATGTTAAGTTTAGATGAGAAAGGAATTAGTCTGTATTCCATCTCTTTCCGAACTGAGCAGGAGGCACACCCAACACTGAAAGTTTTGCCATGGACTGTCTCTACTTTCCAAACGACCGAGCGTTACCTCTCTGGCTTTTTGTGCTGCAAGCTCAGCTTGTCTCTGTCGCTCGAGTTCTTCGAGCAACTGCTTTTCCATGATGCGCTTGGCTTCCTCCACCCTTCGGAGAACTTCTCGCTCAATTTCATCCTTCCTTTTCTCCAATTCTTCCTCTACCCTTTTTGCCACTAATTCTTCCACTCTTCGTGCTGTTTCTTCCTCGATGAGTTTTTCTTCTATTTCCTGCTGCCGACTAGCAAACAAAGCAGAAAACAATGACTTAGATAGGTAAACCTAACAAAACTAGTTATAAATCTGTCAAACATACAGCCTGATTCTATAATTCTATAATTCATTTTCAGGCAACATTCAAGGAAATATCAGATACCAACATATTAATACAGAAATTCAAATAAATATGAAATACTTGTTTTCTATCACTTTCCAAGTACAAAATGACTAGTATGTATGTACAAAGAACTTAATTCATTAGTTTTAATTTAGGAACTGTAGAGTAAATCTACAATAAGAAGTCTTACTTTTTTGGTATCAACTTTGTAATGAAAGGACAAACTGTTGTTAAGTGTACAGATCTGCTCATTTGCCAATGCACTCAGTCTAAGGGTTGAGCTACAGAGAAGTCAGGAGAAAATATTATGTAGCAAGCAATTCAGACTGACAAAGTTCACCCCCCTCCCCCACCCCGACCAGCAAAATCAAAATATATGCAGATTCAAAGAGACTCAGACTGCTAAGGCAGTGTAGCGTAGCTTTTACTGAAAATACAGAGACCTTAATTCAGATTCTGAACCTAACACCTTTAACTGTACCTTTTCTTTCTCTGGTTAACTGATTTTCAATTAAAAGCTCTTCAAGAGATGGGAAAGTGGATGAAAATATATCATCAGTTCTAATAAAAAGTTCAATGAAGCATGATATTGTTTTAGTTCTTTTACTCACATTTAGATATTATAAACCAACTTAATTACTCAAAATGAAATTTCACACTGAAAATACCGACATTTATCAAGGCACTATAGTGGAAACAATGCACATTTTATACCACTGATACCCAACATGATAGCTCCTTGGTCCCATCTGCCTCGTCTGAACTGAAGATCAGTATAAAGAAAATGTATAAAAAAAATCTTTTAACTATTTTTATTTGGTTACATGTTAAAATGACATCTTAAAGACTGAGAATATATTAAAATTAATTTCACTCGTTTCTTTTTAATGTGGCTACTGGAATATTTTTAAATTACAGATGTAGCTTACATTGTATTTTCTATTGAACTGCACTAGTTGAGACAATAATTTGTGCTAAATTAATAAATTCAGAGGCTCTGGAAGTGTATCTAAATCCCAAGAAGCCAATTTATTATTAGTAATGCTTCAACTTTCTCACAACCCACAAAATTAAATACAACCTGTAACCTTTTATCTTTTGATGACTCATACATATGTATGAGCCAGTCATTCAATTTACGTGGTTTAGTAAAGACTTTATAGTGTCTAAGTGACCTTTAAACACCCCAATTCACTTCAACTAAACTCTATTTTGGGGGGTTGATTAAATTCCCACTCAAGTGCTTTCATTCTCAACTCCTGTTACTTATTCACAGTGATACCATACTAACACCGGTGTATCTCTAACATTCTGATTCATTTCAGTTTCTGCATTTAGAATCCGTTTTTCTGTCAAGGAGATAGTAGTTACTTGAAAAAACACAATTTTAGGTTCTAGATAACATGCAATACCCATTGTGAAGACTCTATTGTTGTTTCTCAAATATTTCCTCCCAACTCTCAATTACTGATTTTTTTTTAAGATTTTATTTATTTATCTGACAGCGAGAGAGCACAAGCAGGGCTAACAGCAGAGGAAGAGGGAGAAGCAGGCTCCCCGCTGAGCACTGAGCCCGATGTGGTGGGGCTCCATCCCAGGGCCCTGGGATCATGACCTGAGCCGAAGGCAGACGCTCAACCATTTGAGCCACCAGGACGCCCCAAATTAATGGTGATTTTTATTTAAATAGATATGAAAGCCTAATATGTAACAATGCTCCTTTTCCTTTTGAAATTCCAAAAAAAATAGAGTTTAAGGTAGTTTCAAGGAGGCTTTATCTATAGCAGCTCAATAAAAGAGAATAGCTACCTACTCCAACACTAAAATGAACTGCCAGAAATATCTAAAGGAAATCAGGCAGTAATTTCAGTGGAAATTAAACTACATTTCAAATATAAAAATTTTGTCTCTCTACTTCATCCAAAGAGAAATATGAGCTGAAATAAGTATGCCTGGTAACTGCTGAACAGGGATGATGGGTACACTAGGGTTACAATAGTCTCTCTACTTTTGCATACATCGGTAAGTTTACATAATACAAAGTTTTAGAAGTATATAGCATCCCCACAAACATACGTTTTGCTAGTTGGTTCTTATGGTATTAGTAAACGTAAAGAAGCCTAAGAACATTAAATGATAGGTCTTCTATGAAGAAAGAAGAAATTTTATTTTAAAGAAGAAGAAATCTTATTTTAAAATGTCAAAAATGGTACGATTCAACTGTTATGGACAATGTAAAACAGTTTCAACTAAAACTTTCAATACAAAGTAAAAAGGAGAGCAAAGACTGGAATAAGGCTTTAGGTTAGCTTATCAGTAGAAAAGTTGCCAAACAACTTAGGAATTTGGTAAAGATGGAAGACACTTGATACATAGTCAGGGTTTTTTTCAAGCAGTTCCTAAGTAATAGCAGTAGCACAATGGCTAATGGGGCCACATTTCCACCGATTTGGTCAGTAAGGAGAAAATAAGCCTAAATAAATTAATTCAGTTTATTACTTACAGCAAAAGCCAGATCAGCATGGTGTGAGCTCTGTCTCTTGTCCCCTCAGAGACACCAAACCAGAGGGGCCAGATGACACACAACAGAGGCACAGGCAGTGGGCTGGTCTGCTGCTGTGGAGTCAATTCTAAGAACTGCTCAGCAGTTTTATAGCCCAGAGGGGAGGGCAAGTGGAAAGTCCCAACCTCAAATGAAACTGGGAGGATAAGAAATGGCCTAGTGGGGTTTCTCAAAAGGCTGCTTATCTCCCTTTGTTCCTTATTCTAGGAACATGAAGGGCATACCATCATGACATCATGACTGTAATTAAGGCTTTCTGCTGGGTCCCACGTGGAAACAGGCAAGGTCAGGGGGGAGCCACAGCAGAATTGTTCCCTACAAGGTTATCAAGAATGTAAATTTCTGTTGTTGCGGTTTTTCTCAGTAAGATTAAAATTACTATTTCAGTAATCAGAAAAAAAATTTTACAGAAATTTTTCAGTTTCTGCCCTGAAAAGTTATTGCTTCGATTCCCCTCTCCCCTCACTGAATTCAAAAAAACAATGGCCACATGTACAACTGAATTAAACATGAGCTCGTCTTTACTGATGACAAATTTATTATCATAATCAATGATAAAGCAGCTGTAAGGCTAACTTTCATAAGAGACACTGAAACTTTCTTGGGGAAAAAAAAAACACTTCTGGTCATTAGCACTTCATAGAAGACCTATCATTTAATGTCACTGCCTATTCACTCCTTCAAACTTTCCCCATAGGAGTTGTCACTTTCTTGATGTTTAGGGTCCCTAATCTTTTCCTCACGCTACTCTGCTGAATACATTGCCTTACCAAGAATTTGTGCCACTGATGAAGCTTCCGTTTTCAACGGAACTAGTATATATAACATTAGGCCCCCATTTTCTCCATGCTTCCAGAATTTTATAACACACTAGTCACAATCAATTTAAAATGGCAACTATTAAAACAGCAAGGGCCAGGCAATACAGCACAGAGTATGACTTTGTATACAGCCACTAACAATATAATTTTAAGTACAATATATATACAAATATATACAAACTCAACCCTGGGAGCTTACTCCGAGGAAGTGCTTACATAACATCAGCAAATAGCAGTAATTCAGTACTGACTTGGTACCAAATACTGTGCCAACAGCTTTATGCACCATGTCACCTGTTACACCTCTGATGGTTCCTCAAGCATAGGAACAATCTATTAGCGGGGCTCCAGCTCACTGCATTTTGCTAAGATGACACCGACCCTAGGTAACCTGACTCCAAAGCCAATCATCTTAAGCACTATACTACCCTACACTGTTTCTCCAGGACAAAAATGGAAGGGAAAAGCATGCAGAAAGATTTAACTACCAAAATGGTTATTTTAAAAATCCCTAAAATTCTTAATCAACATCAGCTACATCTTAGGCCCTAATACTTTGTCTTAAAGCCCTAACTTCCCCGAAACACACAGTTCCACATACTGAATTTGCTCTTAAAAGCTCATTTTGCCCTCAAAATGAGCTCTTCAAGTATTCTAAGAATCACTCATATAGATCCCAGCTCAGTTTAGATACTTAGAAGGCTCTCAATCTGTCATGCAGTCGAACACTAAACATAATCATACATAGATTGTCACAGGCTACAGTAAATTAACAGTAAGAATTAACGTTTCCTGTTTTGCTCCAAGACATTTACAGGTGCCCATTTTTTCAACATGCACTTAATATAACATTCACAAAGCATCTCAAAAGAATATGTAAGAAAATGATAAGAAGAGGGAACCACAGTGAATGGCTGGCACACAGAAGAGAGAACTTAATTTGAAACATGTGAATTAGCTCTTCAAAAATGAGGAAAAAAAAGGTTTAATGTTAAGGTCTGCCTTTCACAGTATTAATGCATAACTCATAAGATCACTCTGAACTCACCAGGCTCAATCTGGTTGCATGTACCTAAAATTGTATTACCAACATTATTTACTGATACCCATTATATGCCAAGTATGTCTAGATACTACAAATGCACTACTTCTGATCTTCATAATAAGCAAGATCTGTATCTCCATTTCAGGAAAAAGAAATCAGGCTTACAGGTGATTTATTCAAGGCCTCACAACTATAAAGAGCAAAGCAATCTAGTTTCCAATATTATCACAAACTTTCTAATTGGTTAAGCCCAAAAGAATAATCTAATTTTGCTCTCTTGCGGTCTCTCATCTTACACTGAACCTCTTCAAGGTACACTGACGCTATGCATTCTTCTGACATCCCTTCTCTGCTTCCAGGAAACTTTCGTCTTCCTCCAACAAACATTGCTAAGGTTCTTTCAGTCCTGTGAACCAACTGCTCTTTTGCCTCCATGCTCTTCCTGGGTCATTTTATCTACTCTCAAGATTTCCTGCAGGCTTCAGTTTCCCATGTCAACCTTGAATAAACTCACCATATCCAAGTATAAGTGCCCACAGTGGAAGTGACAAATGGACGCTCCCCTTGATTTTTCCTTGTCCTCTACCCACTGGGTTTGACACTCTAACCACTGTCTGCCACACAAATAGTTACATGAACATTTGGTAGCTGAGGTGCAACAGCCACAACATAAACATGAGAACCAACATTGATGTTTTATTTCCCTTATGTTCCGATCCAGTTTTATTTGCACTAAATGTTTCTTAAATCTGTCCCTCTTTTCCATTCCAATAACCACCCCCTCACTACTCCTGTGTGGCCTTACTGTAACTACTTATCTGTCCTATACAGCGTTCCGTGCGGTTTTTGGGGGGAGAAGAAGAAAAAAAGCCCACGCTGTTTACCTCCTTAAAACTTTTCCTGTTTCTGGAGCACCTGGGTGGCTCAGTCGTTAAGCCTCTGCCTTCGGCTCCGGTCATGATCCCAGGGTCCTGGGATCGAGCCCCGCATCAGGATCCCTGCTCCGCGGGAAACCTGCTTCTCCCTCTCCCACTCCCCCTGCTTGTGTTCCCTCTCTCGCTGTGTCTCTCTGTGTCAGATAAATAAGTAAAATTTAAAACAAAAAACAAAAAACAGCAAAAAAACTTTTCCTGTTTCTATGATGAAAAAAAGCCAAGCTCCTTAACATGGCACACAAAAGACTTCTCATGATTCTAAGCCACAAAAGACTTCTCATGATTCTAAGCCACTATGTACCTCCCCAGTCACTCCAGGATTTTAGTACTTACACACCTTCACGTTCCAGTCAACGTCCACGGTTTTACCTCTCTTTAGGGCCATTCCCGCCCTGCCTTCCTTTATTCTGCTAGGGGTGGAGGGGACTCTGCTTTGGTCCACATGTATCTTCCTATGCCTCACCTGACAGTCTCTTATTTTCTCTTTATCTATCACCCACATTCCTTAGAACTAAGGTGCTTACCTACCCACAAACTTTCTTTTCAGTCACTTGACAGTCACTGAATTTACCACACTGTATGATTATGTAGCTACTGATAAGTCTTTAAGCTTCTTGGAGAGGGCTCAATTATCTTTATATTAACAGCACCTAGCATAGTGTCTGGCACTTATTAAATGCTCAATAAATATTAGTTCAATGAATGAGCTAACCAACAGAGACTCATAGACATACAACTACTTAACGCCCATTTTCATGGCTCCAAAACCTAGGTCTTTCCATTGTTCCCTGTGTTATCTCCAAGACATTACATCAAATTAAGGAGTGCCTACTGCATGGCACAGAGGAATTCAGTGTATAGGTGGCTGCTAGCTCTGCCCCCTCCTCCCTTCATAAATGCTAATGATAGTTTGCTGCTTCTGTCAACTTGGAACTATACAACTGTCCAATTTTCTCATGGAATCCCTGGATTTTGTTTCTGCTATTCATGGGTAGCTTGCTAAATACTTCTAATTATTCTTTGCATACCAAGGTTTCTTTCATTTTTCCTACAAGTCTTAGCTTTCTAGTGAATGGCAAATCATTTCTCTTTGGACATCTGTTTTCAAATGGAAAAATTATCTCAGAGATGTCTTCAGTAATCTCTCAAATGTTCATCCGTTGACATTTGAGAGCTGCATTTTTACAGTGAAGGATCCTGTTCCAGACCAAAAAACCTGGATTCTATATAATCAAGGTTTGTTGCGAAACAATTATTTGTATTTGGGGTGTGTGTGTGTGTGTGTGTGTGTGTATGCATACATGTACAATCAACAGTTCTACATAAAGGAAAAATAAAGGGATGCAACAAAATAGCTCTCCTGGTACTGCTTCCTCTGTAATACTGTTAGTGCTCTAGTCCTGTACCTCCTAATAACTTTGCTTCTCTGAAACACACTCTGCTGGAAAATCTACATAATACAAACCCAAACACAAAAAAATTTAAAATCCCTAGACAGTTCAGCACACATGTATTTGTCGCAAGAAGATCCTAAATTCAGTTAACTTTCCTGCCTCATGTGCACTTTCTAAACATGAACTGAGGAAGACAGCTGGTTAAACAGGGAGAGTTTGCAAACTAACTTTGGGAAATGAATACCCAGAGCATCAAAGGACGATGGTCTTAAACCAAAACAAAACCCTACATTTTAAAACCAAAAGGTCATCAGTTTGGAATTATTTGCACCTACTCCTGGATCTAAAAAAATACCTGAGAGGTGACTCTCTGAGAAATACTTTCACCCAAACAGTATTTCAAGTTGGAAACCTTACTGTGACTCTGATTTTCCCTAAATCTAAGTCCTGTATGTGAGCAATGCGAAAATGAAAGCAAATACTCAAGTGTCTTCTAAACAAAAGTATACTAAAAAGGAAAACGAGCAACAGGATTGCACTTAAGTTTGCTACAAAGGAATATAAATAAGAAGTATAAAGACGGAGTAAGTTTTGATTGGGATGGTGGTTAAGCAGGGGACCTCAAGTGTCAAAACTCATTGTACTGCATGCTTAAAAGTGTGTGCATTTTGTTTTTACAGCTCACAAAATAACAAAATAACAAAAACCGAGCAGGCCCGAAAAAAGAAACGCAACCGCGACATCTTTAACAAAAGAAACGCACCAACGGAAAATGCATTTGGGGGTGTACGGTCTGACCACCTACAGTGTCTTATTCCCGAGGAAGCCCTGTCCCAAACTGAAGCTCCCATACAAGAATGCTCCGGCCAGCTGCAATTTGCTTCCCGAGGGCTAACTGCTTTTCGACTCTGCACCAGCCGGCCTGCACACGCTCCCCACCCGCAGCTTCAGGCTCGCTCACCCCACGCCCTCCCTGGCCCACGCAGCTCTCCCACCTTACTCTCAACTCCACCCCCTACTTCCGGCACTCCGCTCCTCTCGCGCGCCAAAACCGCTTTCTCCGCTCCGAGCCCTTCCTGCGCAAGCCCCCCAGTTTTCCTTCCCAGCCAACTCGTGGGTCTGTCCCGGCCCAGGCTCTCCAACTCGGCCGGGCTGCAGCCCCTCGGGCGGGCTCCCACGCCCCTCCAGCCGCTCCCCCCCCCCTCGGCCCACGCGGCCCCGCCAGCCCCCACCCCCCCAGCCTCCCCGCCCCTCCCCCCGCGGGCGCTCACATTTTTCGCTGCCGCTCGAACTCCGCTTTCTTCTCCTCCTCCTCTCGCTTCTGCTTCTCGTCCAGGCTGCTGCGCTTGCTCACCGTGCGCCCGAAGATGTCGATGCGGTCGGGCGGGGACGAGGCGCGCTCCCGGTCCCGCTCGCGCCGGGACACGGCCGTGTTGGTGGAGCGCGAGCGGGACCGCGACTCCCGCCGCCGGTTCCGTTTACTCTCCCGGGATTTGGAGCGCTTCCGCACGCGCTCCTTGTCCCGGGACCGCGACCGCGACCGGCTCCGCTTCTTATTGTGTTTGCTGCTCTTGGTGTGTTTGGAGCGGGACGAGCTCCGGCTCCGAGACCGGCCCATCCTTCCGGGCGACGCTGGGACTAGCCGCTGGCCTCGGCTCCCGCACGCGTCCCACTGCCCTCGCTTCCGCCTCCGGACCCCGGCTGGCCGGGCTGCCGAGGCCGGGGGAAGGAAAGCTGTCAGCCAGCCGACTTTATACCGCTCTCTTAGGTCGACGGCCGCCGCGAAGGCCGCCTCCAACGACAAGGCCGCAACGCCAGGAGTTGCAAAGATGGCAGCCGCGGCTGCACCGGCCGCCCTTCCCACACTGCCCCGCGCGGAACGCGCCGCTGCGCGAGCCCCGCCCCCTGGCGATGGTTGCCGAAGGCGACGCGAGCGCTTCCGAGCGCACTCGGCTGCTTCCGCCAGCCCCGCGCCCGCCGGGCGCTCCGGAGCCCGAGTCCCCACCTTAGCTTTAGGGCGCTTCTGCTTTCGGGTAAGACGCCGGCGCCGGGGGAAGGAACCCGTCACGTTTTGGTGAGAGTGAAATCGTGCCTCAGCAGGAACGGACTGACTGCAACATTTCCGAGGAGCCGGATTTGTCTCAGGCAGCCCCAAATTGCACCGAGTGACCCTGAGCGCATGACTTGGGTCTCTGAGCTTAGCTGCCTCGTTCGTTCGATGAAGATAACCGCGCTTTAGGCAGTGGCTGTGAGGCTTCCGGGAGGTGACGTCGGCTCTGACGAGGGGAAGCCAGTGCCTGATAGAGGACCCCACGTGCCGGGGGTTCTCAGGGCTCTGCGCTTATTAAGTGGTGCCCGACTCGCGTCGTGGGGGCGGGACGCCGCGGTGCAGCCGGCGAAGAAGCTGGTGGTCCAGCGGTGCAGCGGGCGAAGAAGCTGGTGGTCCAGCGGTGCAGCCGGCGAAGAAGCTGGTGGTCCAGGTCGCAGCTCGCGCGTTGGCCGCGCAGGGCTGTGCGTCTGCGGCTCCGCCCCGGGGGGACCCGCCGCGTCCTGGCGGGGAAGCCCTCCCGCTGCAGGGGGAGCCGCCGCGTTCGCAGGCGGTGGAAAGCCTTGACAGTCCGAGTGCCTCAGTTTTAAAACATTTTAGTAAAAGGCTTAGCTCAAGAGAGGTGAGAAGAAGACTAAAAACTTCCCTTTTGAACGAATAATAGCCTGTTACAAATGAAATAGTAAGATTTTCTCCGCGACGGCAACAAGAAATAGAAAGTGCTTAGGAAGAAACATTGACAAGTTACAAGATCCTCAGGATGAAATCCCGCAACCTTCGCTGCAAGGCAGAAGCAAGACCTGAATAAATGGAAAGTCGGTGCCACATCTTTGGAAAACAAGGCAGTATCAAAATTATGCCAATTCTTTCAAGTTAAGTCACAAAATTAGCGCAATTTCCATCGGAGTCCCAAGTTCTCTTGGGAATGTGTTAGAACTAATTTTTGATTTTATATAGAAGATCACATTGTTGTGGGCGCCTGGGTGGCTCAGTTGGTTGGGCGACTGCCTTCGGCTCCGGTCGTGATCCCGGAGTCCTGGGATCGAGTCCCGGGATCGAGTCCCACATCGGGCTCCCTGCTCAGCGGGGAGTCTGCTTCGCCCTCTGACCCTACCCCCTCTCGTGCTCTCTCTCTCTCTCGTTCTCTCTCTCAAATAAATAAATAAAATCTTAAAAAAAAGATCACATTGTTGTGAATTATCAGAAAACCGCTTAAAAAAGAGTAATAAGCATGTGCCCTACAAAAAAATTAAACAACACCAAGATACACAGCAATAGGAAAATAATGAACGGAATAGGAGGATCGATCTATTATTTTTCCTCAGATACATTCAAGTTAAAAAAAAACAAATACCACCCCTTTGCTCCTTTGTGTTCACTGACACCCACAGGTTAGTATGCTAACCTTGATAAAGGTACACTGAGTACATGTTGAATGATGAGGATTCGAGGGTGTTTTGCTTTGAGTTTGGTTTCATTTGTTTTGCTTTTCCCTTCTGTTTAAATTTCCATCCTCCAATCCTTTCTCCCAAAGTGTTCCCTCGGTTCATTTTTGAATAATCACAATAGCCAGGTGTAAATAACGGATCCTTTAGAAGCAGATCATTCTGAAGCACGATCTCCTAATATATATTTTTTAAAAATGCCAAGGAACTGCATAAATATATCTTTCCTCCTAATTCTTACATTAGTAATCCTCAACTCCTTTTGTCAGCTTTTCAAAATCTGAGGTGTATCCTGTAACATGTTGATGAAGCCTCATTTATTCAGGTCATAAATATTGAGTACATAGCTTGTGCAAAATACTGTGCTAACTGCTTACAGACTCATACCTACACTTCAAGTATAGGCAGAGCCATGGGCACCAGGTGCAAATCTCCCCATAGTTCACATAACCAATTAGTTTTCATTATTGTTTCTTAGAAGATCATCTCCCTAACTTTGCCCTGAGCTATCTGACATACTCATCCCTCCCTGCCCACTCAACTGCTTACCCCTTGGCAGGTTAGTTCTCCTTAGCAGAAGTTTACATACTTGTAATAATAATAATAAAAAAAAAAAGTTGTTTAGTGAGCTCCTCAAGGCAGGGGGACCACGTCTGATTTGTTTGCTGCTGTTTTCCCATCATGCCATGGGACTTCACAATGGGGAGGCATTTAACAAAACAATCTGAAGGAGTAAATAAACGTGGGATGCATTGCCTGGTTTCTCCTAGCAACCATAAAACATGGCTTCTTTTAAAACTGCTTTTGACAATTCAAAATTACAGAATGTTACATACTTCGAATACAGAGTAAACTGATTTAATCACAGTTCTGGTAATAAAATCAGCAAAACTTTAGCTTCCAACAACTATCTTTTGATTCAATTAAAAATATTCAGTTCTGCACAAAACATACCGCCTTTTTTTGTCCTAGGCAAATGTTACTCCAATTCTCCACCTAAAAGTATTGTCAGGAGGCCCTATGCTAAGCAAGGTTAATTGTAAAATTGTAAGTGCACCTCTATGAAAAAAAATACAATGTTTGCCTAAGAAACAGGGAATTTTTTACTCAGAAAGAAAAAAACCTTCAGACTAGGAGCACATACAGATAGTCAGCAACAGATGCAGATTGCCTTTCTGCTCAAATGCTTTAAGAGCAAGGCTGCAAAAAGTCTTGGTGTTGTGAGCACAGAAGGGCAAAGAACGCCCCTCCAGAAATTTGCCGAGACTAGACAGTGACTAGATCCCATCTCTGAGAGATGGGAGCATGAGATTGGCAAGCTCTGACATGGAGCCAGTGCAGAGCAGAGGCCAAATTTTATGTCATATAAGAAACAAGTCTGAACTTAAAAAGGAGAGACTTTATTCAAAAGGATTATTGCAAGGAGTGGGGTGTAGCATGTGGGGGATGAAGCCCTATTGCAATGGGGTGTGGGGGACCATGGAAATGGGGAGAATGTCATGACCATAACACCTGCAGGCGTCTCCACAGTTAGGCAGATAAGGGTTTTCTTTGATAAAGAGGGATAAACAAGAAGAGAAATACCCTGTTGTGTGTGGGGGGGTGAAAGCAGAGCATGATTGGATTGTACATAAGAGAATATTTTAGTCTGAGGTCAGCCTAGTCTCAGGAGGGGTTGTCAACTGGCTCAGGCTGAGGGTGGACCAAAGTTTGGGCACCTGGAGGCAGAAGAGAAGCTTAACCAAAGTTTGATGAACAAGCATTTTGTTCCCATTGATCAGTGAAGACAAAGTAGTTCAGCTCATTTATGAGGCAAAGAATGGGAATTTGGAGGGTCTATGTCTGGTCTTGTCCTAGGTAATTAGTGGGGGAGCTGCTCCTGTTAAGTCTTACCTAAGTCGTATGCGGAGGAGGGTTTTTTTTTTTTTTTTTGCAATATACCATTTCCCAGAAGGTAAAATATGGGTGGGATATCTCTTATTCTTTGCTGTTTTCCAGGAACATGGGGCTCAGTTCAAATTCAACACTATCGGCAGTGAGCTTCCAAGGACAACCTCAGAGTCTTCCTTTATTCCTTCTCTGAGTCCTTCTTTCTTTACATAGATCTGAGTTTCTGACTCCTTTATCCATTTCCTTCTCTTTGAAGAAACTTCCACATTGCTTGTAGTGCAGGTCTAATGATGACAAATGCCTTCAGGTTTTGTCTGAGAAGAAGTATTTCTCCTTTACCTTTGAAGAATATTTTTGCTGGGTACAAAATTCTGAGTTGGTGTTTTTGTTTTGTTTTGTTTTGTTCCTTTTAAAAATCTAGGTATTTCTTTCCACTCTCTTGCTTACATGGAATCTGATGAGAAATTTGATGTAATGCTTGTCCTTATTTCTCTATATGTGGGATGTCTTTTTTTCCAAGTGGCTTCTTCCAACATTTTGGCTTTGGCTTTGGCTTTCTGCAGTTTGAGTACAATAGGCCTAGGTGTAGATTTTTTGGTATTTATCATACTTGGGTTTTTTTGTTTTTTGTTTTGTTTTGGTTTGAGTTTTTTGTTTTTTGTGTTGTGGTTTTTTTTTTTTTTTTGAGCTTCTAGAGTCCATGGTTTATTTCTGTCAATAATATTGGAAAATTGTCAGCCTATATTATTTCAAATATTTCTTCTGCTTCTTTCTCTCACTTCTCTTTCTGGAATTCCCATTAGCTTATGTTATACCTTTTGTATTTGCACCCACAGTTCTTGGATATTTTGTTCAATTTTTTTTTCATTCTTTTTTCTCTTTGCATTTCAGTAGTAAGTTTCTATTGACATGTCTTCAAGCTCACTGATGCTTTCTTCAGCTGTGCCCAGTCTACTAATAAGCCTATTAAAAGTATTTTTCATTTGTTAGAGTTGTTTTGATTTCTATGATTACCTTTGAGTTTGAGTCTCCATCTCTCTGCTTACATTACCCGTCTGTTCTTGCATGTTATCTACTCTTTTTATTAGTGTGCTTAGCATCTTTATTTATGATTATTTTAAATCCTCAATCTGATCATTCCAAAATCTGTGCCGTATCTGAGTCTAGTTCTGATGCTTGCTTTATCTCTTCAGATTTTGGGGTTTTTCTTGCCTTTTGGCAAGAACTTTTTGTTAAAAACTAGACATGATGTATTGGGTAATAAGAATTGAGTAGATAGGACTTTGGTGTGAAGTTTATTTTTATCTGGCTAGGAGTCAAGCTGTGTTTATAGTGGCTGTAGGTATCAGAGACTTCAGTTTCCTCTAGTGTCCTGGTTTTTGTCTCTCCATTGTCTTTGGGTTTCCCTATCTAAAGAACTCCTCCTTAGATAGAGTTTGGGCCTTGTAGTTCTTTTAGCTCTGACCCCCTGTTATTATACAGGCCCTTGAGCCTATTGACTTGGTGGTAAGGAGGG